TGCATTGCTCATTTGTTCTTCGAAATAACAAACATAAAAATAGAACATACCTTGCTCTTTTTTATTATAGTTTAGGAAATATAGAATGATCCACGTACAGAAAGATGATACACACACATATACATACCAGCAGAATACAGCTTCACTTTATCGTATACCAAAGAGAGTACTTATTCATAGATACAAGATTAGAATACACCTTTTGCAATGTAGAGGGTAAGTCACTCATTATCCCTAAACTTTTAATTAGTCGCACTTAATATCCCTTGGTAGTCAAACAGAGTAGTCTCTCTTTTACCGTCGTCCATCACGTGACGTCAATATGTTGCAGAGTACCCTCTTCTGTTATACACGTTGAATATACGCATACCTTCGCGATGTTTGTACAGATAACAGAGAGATAACTTCCATTTGAAATCGAAGGGTCTAAATACTAGTAAAAAAGTTTAGGAATAGTAAATAACTAATCCCTGTAATTATATATATATAGTTGTGACTCTAGGCCAAGACCTTCCTATTGAAGATCCAACTGAAAGGGATCATCATATTCTCACCATACTCCTTCATCTTCCTCATCCTCCCCTCCTCCGCCCTCTCCTCCATCCTTCTATACCTCTCCGGTAGTCCGCAGACGTAATCTTGCGCCCGCCTCCCCTCGCTTGACAACCCTGCGCTCACCGTCTCCACCTTCCACCTCTTCGCAAAGAACTCCACGAGGTCCGCATAATCCCTCGCCGTATAGACTCCAACCTTCTGAGCCACTGCGGAGTAGTGGTGGAAGAGGTTGTCGTCATGGCCGTCGAACATGAGAAGGGCGGGCATCGTGATGCGTCGCCGCATCATGTCTGCCAAGGCGAGCATGGTCGTGTCGGGGTCGACCTCAAAGAGCTTCTCGACGATCTTGGTGTAGGCTAGCTCGTGGCGCTTCTCGTCAGAGGCGATGAGGCCGCAGATCTTCGCAAGGGTGTCGTCACCGTGGAGCTTGGCGCTGCGGGCAGTATTGCCGTGGGAGATGAAGGTGGCCTTCTCTTGGAAGGAGGTGTAGATGAGGCCGCAGTAGGGGTTGCTGTCTGCGCCAATGTCCTGCGAGAATTGAATTAAATTAAGAAGAAGGATTAAATTAGTTATAACATATATAAAGGGCGAAGGTACGTTAACTTCAACACTCACAAAGTCCAAGGGGTTTTCTGGAATTAAAATAGTTTAGAGAAAAAGTGTTACCCGCAGCACCACCAAATTAAAGCTCAGTACTGAAGTCAGTTTTTTTTTGAAATAAACCACAGTAATTAACTCACCACGCCAGCTCCGATCAAGTACTGTATAGTCTTCTCAATCTGCCTCATATCCAGCCTCCCACTCAAATACAGATATTTATTCAGCAAGTCCCCGTGCCGGTTCTCCTCCGCCGTCCACCGCCTCGTCCACCTGGCCCACGCCGACGAGCTCGAGCCCGTCGGATCCCTCACACCTTCAAAAGTGTTGAATACCGTCTCGTACGTAGGCAGTGCCTCCTCGGTGATCATATTCCCGACCAAACAGACGTAGTACTCATCGGGAATGTTTCTTGCACGCGCCCTGATGTCGCGTATTTCATCGAAGAATTCCTCGTCGCCGTCGGACGAAGGGTTTGGGAGGAAGTCTTGAGGCTGCCAGAGGGTCTCCACGGGCTTCAAGAAGGTTAGGATGTTGTCTTCTGCCCATCCCTCTAGGGACCTGAAGATCTCGAGCTTCTCTGGTGTCATCTTCTTCCACTTTAGGTTGTTATCGGCTTCTCTGCATGATCGAAGCAGGATTAATTAATTGCGTCAGTTTTTGCACTAATATAATTACTTTCCGCCCGGTACCTGTGCTGGATTATTATGGTGTGTATCTACACCGATGATCTTGGCGAGCCTACGTATCTATATATCTATCTATCTGCGCTGTTAACCCTGATGATTATCTAAGGCGTCAACTTAGGAGCACTTTTCCATATATATTTAACCCTGATGATTATCTAAGGCGTCACCTTAAGAACACTTTTCCCTATATAATATGTAAAATGACATATTAACATACAAAAATAATAAATATATTATATTATTTGAAAACATCATAGGCATGGTTCATGTAGCAGAAGAACTAAATCTTCACAAAAATACACTTCCACCGTACATATTATATCAGAGCTCATTAAAAAGGGGCATCATTTGCCATATAACTTTTTCATTGAATTTTATCTGATTTTTTTTTTCTTCCGAATAACCGAGGCACTATGCCTTGAACCAAGTAAATTCTGCAGGGGGAAGAAAAAAAATTTGCTGGTGGACTAGAAGAGGATATCAAACCTGATTTTTGATGGAACAGTACTGGTCAGTGCCATGAGAAACTTTGAAGACTTTGATAATTTTGAAGAAGCAAGCTCTAGCTGCCCGCAGAAGGAAGCCTGAGTTGACAAGAAAGAAAAATTTAGCGCCATCACTAATTAAAATGAGGGTTGTTGAGATCGAGAGCTCAAATTTAGAGCGAGAGAATTTATGAACTACTCGTGCTTTCAAAAACACATTGCAGTTAGCTAGCTTTTTATAGAGGTGGAAAGATGCTGCTGAAGGTGCGATGCGATATCCAAACGCACATGGAGCTTTTAATGTGCGTTATGTTCGTGCGTCACATATCCTAATTAATCTATTAAAGATTTTCCTTCAAGAATTCCTTTTTCTGCTAAAGATTTCTTCAAGATATTGGATACTGAAACAAATAATACTTTTTGAAAATAATATTTTCTTAGGAAAAAAATAATATAATTAATATTTTCCAAAAAATATATTTTTAAAAAAAACTTTTTTTGGAAAAAACAATTTCTTAAAAATAAAAAAATTTCAAAATAATTTGTTGCGACTATAGTTGCAACTTAAATGGATTTGTAGTCATTTTGGTTGTAGCTTGACTTGCAGCTGAAAATAGCTGCAAATCAAAAGTTGCAACTAAAATTGCAATTGCAAGTGACCAATTGTAACGAAACAAACGCATACTACTGGATAAAATGGCCCAATTTCTTGCAACTGCACTTGCAATTGCCCCAGTTGCAGGCAAACGACCCCTTAATGTGACGGTAACTACGTACTGTTTAAGAGTATAGCATGTAAAAACTATTGTTTTATTATTACTATATATGAATCTTCAAGAGTTCTAATCAAAATAAATGTGTTAAACTGTACGTGAACTCCCATTAGCCACTTTAACGATTTCAAATTACATGTAATGGTATGGATTTTTTGAAGCAGAAAAACAGGGTGAGATACCATGTTCAAATATATATTGATATAAAAAAAGAGTCTAGAATATACAAAACAAATAGCTGACTAAGCAACAAAAATGTAAGGATAGGAACCAAAGAAGATGTTATTGGAGGGGGAGCCGACCCTAGTCATCATCCTCCAGATAACAGCTGCAGAGATTCCTAACCTACCATTGATCACACAAAAAAGTTAAAAGCTACAAAAGGGGCTACCGATAGGAACCACCATAGAGCAGCCATCACCAAGCAAATCTACTCCTAAACTATAAACAAAACAATAGTGTATCTCAAAAGGTTTATAGAAAAGTACATAACAACTGTAAATATGCCCACAGAGTCTTGGAACTAAGAGACCGAAAGCTGGAAGAGGAGGAAACTGCTAGAAGCTAGTCTCCTTGAGCAAAAGTTTCCCCGAGAGCTTCACTCCCATTAGCTTTAGCCATGTATTGCATACCCAAATCGATAGCAGCCCTATGAAGACGCTAAGATTTTCTGCTGCTTGAAGTACATGTCCAGAATAATATGAAACGAGCTGCATTAGAGGCTATAGACAGAGGAGTAACATGAGAATTGTTGAATATGAGGTTGTTTCGATTGCTCCAAATACACCAACAGAGGCATGGGAATAATACCCTCCATAACTTCTTTTGATTGAGGTTATACAGGAATAAATCCTTATCTGAAATTATTGTAGATACCTCCTTAGGCCAATGGCTGAGATTAGAGGATGGGAAGATGATGGACCATACCTCAGTAGAGAAGGAGCATGAAAAGAAAAGATGATCATGGGTTTCTCTTTCCTGATTGCATAAAGGATAAGAAGGATCGCTTCCCCCACCCCTTTTTGATCAAGTTATCTTTAGTTTGGAGTTTCTTCTTGCTTAGAATCCAAAGGAAAATTTTGACTTTTAATGACACAGGGGAATACCAGATAAAGTTATGAAGAGGGGAGACAATGCCTCCATTATTAAAAAAAGAGTAAAAGGATTTCACAGTGAAGGTGTTTGATGAGTTTAAAGGCCACTGAACAGAGTCGTGCATGTTTGGAGAAGTCGTGAATTGAACAATATGCAGAAGAAGGTTATCTTTGTACCTTCTGTCTTCTTATGTGATACCTCTTCTAAGAATAGGATTCCATCTCTAGAGATTTTGATTCAGAACACCCTGGGAAGAAACAAAGCTAGCAGGAGAGAAGGCCAGTCTAAACACCTTAGGAAAAATACAGCATAGAGAGTTATCTCATGTCCATTTATCAGTCCAAAATTTTCAAGTCTTACCAGAACCAATAACCCATCTAACGAAGTTAAAAAAGGTTGGATGAATAGAACGTAAATCATGGATGAACATGGAAGCATACCTCTTAGGGGGGTTGGATATAGGATTAGAATTATTTAAAGAGTAGATAGAGAAGATCACTTTACTGATAAGGCTCTCCCTATCTAAAGTTTTCCAAATCCACATGGATAGGAAAGCTTGATTGAAATTATGCATGTCAATAATCCCTAATCCACCTGCACGTTTGTCCTTACAAACATTTCCCACTTGACTAGGTTTTTGCCTCTGCAGAACTGAGGTTTACCTCCCCAAAGAAAATTTCTCCTGATTTGATCGATGGCTTTGATAACCCAACAAGGGAGTTTGAAGAAGAACATATAATATAAGGGGATGGAAGATAGAACTGAGTTTATAAGAGTGAGCCTACCTCCAATAGATAGGCATCTATTTTTTCATAGAGCAAGTTTAGAGGAGAATGAGTCAAGTAAAGGTTGTCATTATCTTCTCGAGAGAGAGAGAGCCTCTCTTAAGCGGAAGACCAAGATAGATAAAAGGGAAAGCTCCCATTGGGCAGTTAAATACTTTAGCAAGCTGAGAACTATGTGGGGAAATTTACTAAGGTAGAAAAGATTAGACTTTGAATGGTTGACATTGAGACCAGAGATGTTGACAAAAATTCTAAGGATGTTATTTAGAACAGCTGCATCATGATTGTTAGCTTTGTAAAAAATAAGAGTATTGTTAGCAAACTGAAGAGTTCTAAGAGAGTTTAGATCTCCTTTAAGATTAAGCTCTACAAGGTCTCCTGCTGAGACATTGGAATTAATCATTTTGCTCAGGATATCAACTATAAGCAAAAAAAGCATAGGAGACAGAGGGTCCCCCTGCTTCAGACCTCTAAGGCAAGGGAAGAATTTGATAGGGGATTCATTGACTAGAATTGCTGATTTAGTGGATGAAAGGATATGAAGAATCCAATTACACCAGATAGAGTTGAATCCTCTAGCTTGAAGAACTTTAAGAAGAAAATTCCAGTTGACGTAATCAAAAGCTTTGAAGAAATTCACTTTAATAGCACATAATTCTTTTTTACCAGAAGAGCAGTGATTAATCATTTCATGGGCTAGGAGGATAGAATCCAAAGCAGACTTTTCACTTTGGAAAGCTGACTGAGAAGAATCTATGAGAGATGAAAGAAAAGATTTTAGTCTGTTGGCTAGGACTTTGGAAAAGATTTTAACTGAGCTATTGATGAGACTGATGGGTCTGAAGTCCTTGAGGGTCTCAGCACCATCCTTCTTAGGAATAAGGTATATGTATGAGTAGTTGATATTGTGGAGGAGGTGAGAATTATTATGGAGAGATTGTATGAAAGAGATGACATCCTGACGAATAAGAGGTCAAAAGCTGTGGAAAAAACATAGGTAGGCCATCTAGACTAGGGGATTTATCTGGATGGAGATAGAAGACTGTCTTCTTGATTTCTTCTGATGAGAATTCAGCAACAAGGGAGAAGAGGTTAGGAGGAGGGTTGGGATATAGCAGACTCCAGTTAACATTTAGTTTACAGTCACTAACTGATGAGAAGAGAGAAGAAAAATAAACATAGAAGGCCTGTTTGATGTCAGCATCTGAGGAAATGATAGCATTATCTGAGATAAGGTAGGGAATGGAATTTTTTCTTCTATGGAAAGATGTTGATTTGTGGAAAAAAACTGTGTTGTTATCTCCTTCTTTGAGCCATTAAATTCTAGACCTTTGTTTCCATTTGGTTTCCTCAGCACTAGCCAACAAGAAAAGGTACTCTTTTTGGCGAAGCTTGAGATTGAATTCTAATTCAGTCAACACTCTACTTTCCTCAATAAGATTCAGAGCATGGATATCTGATAAGGTTGAGGCTTTCTGGTTGGGAATGGATTTAAAAAATATTATCTTTCACCATTTTATCCTTCTACAGATAAGTTTAATCTTGAGAGGGAGGGATGCTGACATACCTTCTTTAGAAGAGAAAGAATTCCAGCATGACTCAAAGAAAGAAATGAAAGAAGAGAATAAAAGCCATGACTTCTCAAATCTGAAAGAAGATGAGGGAAAGGAGCCTCCTGAGTCAAGGATGATAGGACAATGATCAGAGCAGGAAGCTGGATATGCAACTTGGAGGAGGTTGGGGAAGTGGGATTCAAAATCTGGTGATATGAAAAATCCATCTAGTCTGGCTAGGACTGGGGAGGTTCTCTGATTGGATCAAGTGAACTTTCTGCTGCTAAGAGGGAGATCAATGAGATTAATAGATGAAATCTGGTGTAATGGTATGGATTTAAAGTGTTGGATAGCAGGTTCCTAATATGTTTCCTACTTTGTTTTGATAATAGGTTATTGGGATTGCTAATCTGTTTTGGTAACATGATTCCAAACCTGTTTTGATAACAGGTTATTAGGATTCCTAATATGTTTTGTTTTTTATTTTAGAATTTCTAGTATGTTTATGGTTTTAGGACTTCTATATATATGGAACAATTAGAAGAGAGAATTAAGAAGAAAATTAGGGATATTTGGAGCACAAAAAAGAGGTATTTTCTGAGCTATTGGTTAGAGTTTTGTTTGGAGAGAATTAGAGATTTGTTGGTGAGATTAATTGGTGAGTTTGAGTGATTTGTAATCTCACTTTGTACTCTTCTTCTCTATTAGTATAAAAACCCTATCACTTTCTTGCCCTGTGGACATAGTTAATTTGCCGAATCACGTTAAAATTGGTTGTTTGTGTTTGTGGCATTGATTTGGTTCGTTTGGCCTTCTCTCGACGTTTATTTGATTTGATTTCTCGTAGCATGTTGATTTGGTTGTTTGGCTTACGCAACGCTCAACAAGTGGTATCAGAGCCCAACAAGTGGTATCAGAGCTTGGGTTACACTTAGGCTATTTGGAGGAGTAGGTTATTTTGGAGGCTCACCTAGGACTTCGTTTGGTGATAAAAGTAGAATCTTTTTTGGTAAAAACCCTATCTTTTTCAGTTTTGGATCTATTCTTCATTTGTTTCGTATTTGTTTTAGTGCTTT